AACAAGTTAGGCTGATGTTAATGGTCATGAAAATGTTGAGAAGGGCAGGGTGTATTCTTATGATTGGTGTGTGTTGAGTAGAGTGGTTGAGTTTGTGTGGATTATTTCACCGGAATGTGGCAATTTACATCTAACGTATGTCAGTGCCTCTCGTGATAATAGGTCTGGTCTGATATTAGAAATTAGCTCAGTGGACTTACTCTGAAAGATGTACTGCGTACAGCATGTTTTTCCGTCGTCGATTCCCCAATGTGATATCCATTGTATTAGTCATTGGGGGATTATTTGTATCTTTATTCATCATAATAAAAATGAAATACCTATACGATAGCAACCAAAAGTTTCACAGACTTCAAGGTTACAAACAATATGTAAGTATAATGGAGTAGTGTTTTCATTTTAGCATTTCCAGATATTTTGTGAGTTTCATAATGTAATTGGGCACGAAGAATACTGAGGTTTGATTCCTGGCTACATTTGATTGTACTTTTGGAAATAGAAGGAAAGTTGGAAGGTTTAGCCTTCTTGAATTTTAGCCTGCACCATGTGCTATTTGTTAATTATTAATTTAATATTAAGAATAATGAATAAGATCCTGGGTAATATTTGTGTGAAAGCTATTTTGTTTATTGTTGACGTGTGTGTATTGCTATGGTCTTGACCATCTTGAAGTACCCTGCACCTTTAGGAGAGGTCTGAAACTTTGGTAAAGGACGTAATTAGTGAGTGGGATGATACTGAAAATGAGACACACATAAAGCTGTAAGTGTAATCAAAACCATAGTGATATTGCTTTTGTTTCTCTTTGTAAGGGTTCATGTTTCAGCTTTAAATGTTAAAATTGTGTTTGCATGTTTTTTGGATGCCACTATTCCATGCTGTTAGTTTTATAAGTGACCTCTATATAGGTTGTCTGATCACAGATACATTCTCAGTCTTATGGAAGCATTATTTCCGATTTATATAGCTAGTATGAGAAATATACTGTGAAGAAATTTTCCTTTGCTTGGCCGTCTCAGTTTCCAAGTCAGTATGTTGGGACCATGTTCCTGTTTAGCCAATTTCTGTATATATAAATGAGTCCTTCCTAAAACATATGAGCTATACATCAGCATGTACAGAGTTTAGGTTGTTGAGTCACAAATGTGGATGTTCCTGTCATAGATGGAGGAAATATCAGACTACATGCGCAGTGTTGAGGTGTCAGCCAACAAATCAGCCATGAGCTTACATCGCTTGAACTCCGTGCTTCAGAGGCAAGAGCAGCAACTAGTGACAGGAATGAGTACTAACAAAGCTACTAGAAGATAACACGTAAGGAAATTTTTTTTCTGTTCCGTACATCTGTGTAGTAGCATAATGGGACCCCTGATTCCAGTTACATAACATAGGATTTGATAGTGTTATTGTTTGATTATTGAGTAATCATTTGGAATTTCAGCATGTTCATAACACCAGATTGATGTGAAGGATAGGATTTAAAACAATGGGGATTCCTTTCCTTTGATATTGTAAAATAAATTTAAATATGATCTGTTTTTATTCATGAGATAATTTCCATATTATCACAGATCTTTTGACGCTTTCTTACACTCTGTCGATGTTGTTTTGCTACTAGTTGAAGAGTGCGCACTTATACCCATTTGTGCATGGGAGGAGAAGAGAAAAGCAAACAAGATGATGGTTCATAAACTGGATTATGAAATAAGTTGATGTCTGTATCTTTTCAGAATCTTGGGTGGATAGAATTTCAGTTATAAGTGACTAGAGGAGTAGTACTAGAAGCAAGCAACCTGCTGCTATACCAGAGTAAGGGTGCAGAGAACTTGGTGAAATGTTCTGGTACGCAAGGCAGCATTCATCATGTTGGGTCTTTATCTGAGATGAATCATACTGTTTGCTGTATTGTTCATAGGTCTGGTATATTTTTCCTTATTTTATAGTACATTACTTCCCCTTGTATTGTGCTTTTCATTGCTGTGTGCCTTAGATAACTTCATTAAACTTATTTTGTATATAAGACATCAATTCGGAAATATTTTCATGTCTGCACATGCCTTCATATGGCAGACATCTTGTTCTGTTTATGCTTATACTGCAGTTGTGTTGGACATTTGCCATTGTCTGAGTCAGATGTGGTATACTCCGTGCTACTTAAAAGAGAGGTGACATTTCCAGGGGTCATCACATGGGTGGGGAAAATCATAACCACCTATGTTATTAATTCCTGGCTTAAGCTTAGGTAATTATTTTTTGTTCCTGTATTTTCCTACAAATGCATACATACACATGTGAGTTTCATTGAAACACAATCAGTGACAGTTCATCTTCTCCTTTTGCCTGTCTTATGTCACATTTTGCACCACAGAAAATAATTTTTTTAGTATTTGTTACTTCTAATGTTAGTAGCACAACCAATACTTGCATGTTACTTTAGAATGATTTAAAGGATGCTTGAGGCAGGAGTAACCCATTGACCCTGTAAAATGCAAAGTGCTTCCTGATTACCATATCCAAAGATACAGTGAAACTGGGACAAGAATGTGACTGAATAATAATTTGGAACAGAGATTATAAGGCACGGTGAAATATTGTCTTTCTGTGTACGACATCTTTCCTGTGTCAGCATTGTCTGTTACCATGTCTTAGTATGGTACACTGTCTACTAAACTATGACAGTTTCCTTCCACATCCTTTCCAATTCATCATTTATAGTTTGCACTGTATAACATGAGAATGACAAAGCATTGCCAATTAAGTTACAAGGAAGCATAATTAATTAAACTAAGAAATAAGCTGTTGCTTAAGTTTGTGATAAAACCAATTCCTGACATTTTGAGTAAATTAAATGTGCCTCATACAGTTGATGATGTTCAACATATTTGCATTGTAATGCATCATCTGTTGTCACAACTTTTAGATATGTTTTAAGTTTACTTGTGTTTGGTAATTACATTTGTGATCTGTAAACATTCCTGTCTGTGATATATACTTAGTCTTCTAATCTGTCACGTTGGTTAATGTTTTGTGGTCACAGCTGTTATGTCAATGTAGTGTTCATATATTTTTGCATGATTATGTCTGTCCATTATGTAGTTCTTGTGTAAAGAACTTATCATGTGTAAACTATTATATAGTAATGTCCTCAGAAACGTTTGTTGAGGTTGGTGCTTTAATTTTCTTTGTGGTCTGCTGGAACGAATTTCAGAACATGATATGAATATCTTATAAGACTTATTCCACGTAGAACACTTTTGTCGAGTCTAAGATTTATTTGTAGTTTTCTTAACGGTACTCATTTTAAGGATAACTGTTTAATATTATGGAGCATCTGAAGAGCAATTATGTCAGGAGACTATGAAACAGAAAGAAGTTCTTGGAACCCTTAAAGATGTTTTATTGTGCAGTTCCCACTTCAGGATATTTAAAAAAGGTTAAAATAATTGTGTTCCTTTTTGTGGTTCATAAACTGTATTAAATTTCTGGGAAATGATAAAATCTGTTTGAGGCAGCTTGAAAGTATGTTTACGAGACTCGTGTTTTGAAATTTGTATGACTCATCATAAAACTACTTTTCTGCAGTGTCCTCTGAAGATTGAGACATCATAATTATGTATCTGCATCCATGTTTGGTACAAGCAAGGTTCCTGATTCCATCAAAATAATGTGGTTGCATCTTCAAGCTATTCTTGAACCACTTATTTTCATAAATGATACTCATTTCATGTGCACATTCATCAGTGCTGATTGTTTAGTTCTTTTGAATATCCTGATTAGTCAGTTCCTCAATACAGATCTGCAGTTGATGACTCTCCAGGAGTTTATCATCAACACACTTCACCCACCTTTGATTTCTTCAACAACATTTTTAATTTTCCCCTGGCTCACATCTTCTGACCACATAAACTGTATGTCATTGTTCTTTGCTGCAGTCTGTTAATATAATAGTCATGTTAAGTAAGTCACATTATCACTACTGAAAGCAAATTAACATAGGTTCATATTTGCATGTGCGCTCATGCATGGATGCATACACTCTTGTTCAGTGCTGCCAAGATAAAATGAGTAAAATTAAAATTGCCTCTCTTTTTTACTTTTCTTATAATATCCATACCGAAGAATCATTTCAAGAGACATGCCTTGTAAACCTATGTTCTGGCTGCTTCGTGTATTTTGTCAGCGCACTTCTAGGGGTACTTGTCCATGCTAGTTACTACTAAAGGTACCTGGATTCAGTCTTGGGTGTTGATGTTTGTGTGCTTCATTTCTTCCAGGAAAATGGCTATTTGGCCATAACCACTTCCATTCTGAATCAACTTTCATACTCCTTTTAGTACTGATCAGACTTTCAGTAAGACTTACAATGAAAAGTGAAAGCAAAATTATAGAAACAAGAAGTATATTTTGTACTGTTTATACTGTTCATGCCTGTATTAGTGGACCCATGTGAGAAATATATAACAACCTGAAATAAATACTATTTAATTGTTTTATATTCATTCCGAAGTGCGATGCATACAGTTGTTCCAATGGAGCAAGTTTCTGGATTTCCATCTTTTTTTCATCCCAGTGTTCAAAGAAATTAATTCCATTACAGTTTCTGGCCAAGAATATTATGTATATGTGTATTAAGTGCTGATCTTATATTCTATTTAATAATAGTAAGCTGATATAGTACTTAAATGGTTCCCATAATTACTGGACATAGAAATTTAAATGTTATGTTTTGTACATTAAATCTAGTATATTAGTTCCTATGTAGATACAACTTTATTTTTTAGATGCATTGCCCAATTGTATCAATTGAAATGTCCATATAGAAGCAGTATGTATGTATAAGACAGTATTATTTATAACCTATGTAGAAGTTGAACACTAATTCATTGCATTGTTAAGGTGGTAGTCCTGGCTGTTGTGCAATGTAGTCTCTAGCTGTATACCAACGTTCTTGAAGAACATGCTGCTTCTATCTTTAGGTCTGAAGTGGGAGATTTATCAAATGGATGATTTACATATGGCTAGAAGGAAGTTCAGGCCAAGGGGATTGGTCACTCAGTCATGGGATAAGGGGGGTTATGGAATTGTGCGTCGGCCAATAAGAAAGATCCCTTTCTAAGCCGTCACAGAGGAAGGGTGGGCCAAAGAAAATGTGGTCTTCTTAAGAGCCCAGAAATGAAGGTGGGATCAAAGAAAGTTGTTTTTGGTGAGAATTTTCTTCCATTTCATGGTGTGAGACTTCCATGACCTGCTGAGGGAGATACTTGTCCTCTCTGTTGACGAGATAGGCTAAAACTCGATCTTTATCACTTCCCATATGTTTTGTCATTGTGTGTTCCTCTGTTTGAGATTGATGTCAGTCTGTTTTTTTGGTTGAGTAATCTGGATGCTGATTGTTTCTATCTTTTATCCTTTGGCCTTTTCCCTTTTGTTAGGGAGTTAAATATAAAGTAAAAAATTTGTAACATTTCAAAACAAATCAAACTCATATTATAGGCTTGCTCTGTCCCATCCAGTACTTCACAGCACAATAAAAAAAATAAACTGCCATATTTCCTATGCTGACTTGCTGATTAATCAGTGGCATGTCGCTGGGTGCATATTAGGGGGGAGGGGTGTGTACACAGTGTCTGTATTCTGTATAAATTCATGTGTACAATGAATTCACTTAAACTTTGCTTGTGGTTTTTTGAAAGCTGAAATAATATTTTGTTGTCTTCCATTTTTATTTACTAGGTCTGTCTTATTTTCCAGGCTTCTTCTTTATGTAATTACTTCATACTGTAATGTTCTTTTGACATGCCAGCCTCCATGTTTGTGACCTGTTTACAGTGAGTAATAAAAATCTAACATACTGAGCAATCCACATATTATGCTTAAGGTTTTTATTTCATAAATTTTACATATTTTTGATAAATTTTGAAATAAGGATTTTATAGAAAGAAGTCTTAGTTCTTTGATATTGTCATAATTTTTGTCTGGAAGAATGGAATAATCGGTATAGCCAAACTCAGATTTGATTTGATGATTTACCAGTATTGTATTACTTAGTATTTAGTTAAGATTGTTGTTAACGGCGCAGTTATTTTATATTCTCTAATTTCTTCTCAAAATGTGTTCATTAACAGAAATTAGAATTTATTTTTTAAGAACTTGTATATTGTAACAACAGTGTAAGTAAATAGTAGTATTACTAATGAGTTGAAATGAAACAAATTATTGAAGATAATATTTATATATTATCACGTGTTGTTGAATCCTACTGGCCAAATAGAGAAATTATTTTTCTGGTTGTTATTTAATGGAATAATTAGTATAAGTGTATGAAAGCTGCATTGAGCATTTGCAGTTTGTATACTTGTCTTCGGATTATATTAATATTGTAGCCATTAGAGGCAGAATGAACTTAAAAGGGGTTTTAGAATAAAGTTTATTATATTCCTGACAAAAGTGTGAACTAAATTATATATGGGTATAACTTTTCCTTTTGTCCCTTTTTTAAGCACTGTGATGTTTGGTCATATGGTCATATTTAATATAATCATATACAATTCTTTTAAACTGTTTTGACTACCACTGGTAGATATATTTGCTTTTGTATGTGCACCTTTGATCTGTATTTCAAGAATGACTGCCAAATTATTGTCTATCCTTTTGTATCTCGTAGAGTGTCTAATGTATTATCTGGGCCAGGATAGTTCAGTGAGCAAAGTGATTGACCGAGATTGATTGCCAGAAGAAGCAGAGATCTTTCGTTTTGCAGCTGTTCAGATTAGATGTATAGTCCATCAAGTGTCCTGTCTAATGGGTATTATGGAATCAGTTCTCAGGAGTAACATCACCAGATCATGGAAATACCGTTTCATTTATAATTATTTATTAACTCTCACTGCCACATAGCAAAATACATATCCTAACCACGTGTGGTCACAGAAGCTCTTGTCATTTTGCAGGCATTCTTGTTCAGGAACATGTTACCTATGTCAGTTATGAAGCCCCTTAGGTGAAACAAAGCAGAGTATGTATGAATATGAGAACATGCATGCTGATACCATTCGTAAGTTATCAGCTAAAAGTTGTCCAGTGGAAGACATTGTGGGTGCTTCTTAAAGCTGCCTGATGCTTCTAGGACCCCTCCTGGTGCACATAACCATGGGTCTGCTGTTGCCTTCTGCCACTCATTGAGTTTTGTCTTGAGCTCCAAAAATACATCCTAAAACAGAGAAGTTGTAGAAACACTTCTTTTCAAAAGCAATATTTGTCCCCTGGTTAAAATTACCTTTCACATAGACTGCAAGTGATATTTATTTACGTATAAAAGAAGACATACAGAGATTTCCATTATGTAGTCCAAAATATCGAGTATAATGTGCCGTAAACTTTTTAACGATCTTGGCCTGATGTGTTTAAATATGACGGTAAACTCAGAGCAGTGTATTAACATTACTTCGGGGCCCTTTGTTAGAACAGTGGTCTGAAGGAAAATATGTTATTCAGCTGAATAACAAGACAGGACACGGAGAAAAAGAATTGGTGTAGGCTTTACAGAATATGTACATAATATGAACTTTACGTGGAATACTTGTTCTGTGTGTGGATACACATCAGTGTAAAGGAAAGGACAAAACTAAATTTTTATGGAGAATTTTTTGCTTGAGACATCAGATCAGACAAACCTTGTAGGCTGGTTTAAATGCTACATTGTTCACCTCATCAGCATCTCGCTTCAGGTCATACAGTTCCCATTCATCTCTGTAGTAGTAGCTCTTAAGTGTCTTGTACCAATTCAGGGGTTGTTTCGATCGTGTTCTGTTTAGGAGATCCTATATATTCATAAAACATATGAATAAAACAATAGTTATACAGAATGACAGTATATCTTCATTCTCTTGGTATGTGATATAATTGTTCATCCATAATTCTATCATACATGGCCAGATTAACAACCTCCACGTATCAGAATCTGATCTGATTCAATAACCTACCTACCTGAAATGATGGAGAAATATAAAAATCTTGGTCAATTGGGAAAGGCATCTTGTAATTAATGTTGTGTATAAGTTTGTATCTCTTGGTCCGCACAGCCCTCATAGGGTAGTACATGGTGATCTCATGGTGACTGTGGCTAGCAAACACAGCCCCTGTGTCATGTGCAGGCTCTGAGTACGTAAAGAATGAAAGTTTACAAGTTGCACAAATTACCTGTGCATTGCACTCACATATTTCATTTCATTGGTGAATTTCCATTGTTCGAGGTGTCCATTCCAAATTCATGCTGACAGAGATCAGTAAATTACCTTTCACCAGTAATGGCAGAAGTGATTTTCCAGTCAGTATAGGCTTGATTTCATTTTCATGAGGGTATGGTATCTTGAACCAGTCTAATAATGTTGGTACAATGTCCAGTAAGCTGGTCATACTGTATGTCACTTCATTGTGGCGATCCTCAGGCCGTGGAGAAGAGATTAACATAGGTTCTGCCATTCCTGGCCAAAGTACAAGATACAGGATATAAGTGTTGGTACTTTTATAGGTTATGAATAACATTCCAGAAGTTAAGAACTCTTTTTAATATACATAGAGTAGGACTGTTTTATGAAACCTGTCATTGCCCATAGCTAACCTCCATTCTAAACTGGTAATAAGAAATCTGGAACTAGGGAACTGTTCAATTATGAAGGGTTCTGACGATGGTATAATAAATCAGGACTGTTGGGTGTTTGGACCTTGTCCATTGTCTGATATAAAAAACAATGTTTCAAGGACAGATCCAGTCCTCAAGTGTTTTATAATTTCAGACAATGGACACAGTCCAAAACCCAGCAATCCTGCTCCTATAAATCAAAGCATCTGCAGAGACCTGAACAACTTCCTTAAATGTTACCTGGATCATACAGGTTTGTGCGTCCACTTGGAAATGGAATACCATTATCTGATGAATAGATTATGAGGGTGTTATTCTCAAATCCAGCTGCCTTCAGCTCTTGTAACACCAATCCCACACCTGGGAAGTGAATGTCACAATATCATATTAAAAATACAACTGCCTTGTTCCCATGTTTTTCATCAACTGATGAATAAGAATAGGCTATGAACACTTCCATCATGATCATTATTTCATTCAACACTATGTAACCAATGCAGTGAGAAAGCAATATTAAATAACTAAAAAAGAAACAATACTGGTACCTTGGTCTAGCCTGGAGATGGTTGTGTATTGAGCTGCGACATCCTGACGTGCTGCTGGAGTGTCCTGGACAAAGTATGGCAACTGCACCTGGTTTGGCTCGTAGTATATTGGATGCCAATCTTCAATGAGACCCATACCAGGCTCACCATTCCCAAACTTTTCACAGAAGTTGCCATATTCTGGATTAATATGTCCACATCGATGTGGGTCATGGAATGCCACATACAGGAAAAATGGACTACATGGGAGAAGCAAAACCAAAATTAAAATAAAAATTTAATTTTGGTGGTGGTAAACAAGATAGGTTATCTAGTTTCATCACTTGGAAGATGTTAATTCATATTGGCATGTAATTTTTCTTACTCTGAAGAATTCTGTGTAAGAAATTCTTGGACAAGAAGCTTGATCTTTGTGATATTCCTTCCCACTTGCAAGATGGAATTGTTTTCTTCAGTCTCTGCAAAACTGAATGGATACACTTTGCTGGGACCAACATGTTTCTTTCCAATAATTCCTGTTGAAAATAGATGAATATATCTCAGATTGAACAAGATTGGAAAGATATATTTTTAAAGTACAGAGACATTCCAGAGGTATTCTTTATGCCACATTATGGGTGTTACCATCAGCAGGGTAACTGAGGAGTCATGAGTGTCACAATCATATCAAAGGCAACAGTTGCATCTAAGATAATTGTTCACTGATGTAATGAGATTGTTGAAAAACAAAAATGTGAACATTCTTTTTCTGCCATATGGGACAAGGTGAGAAACACTGGAATGGACTTGGAACAAATATATTTAAGTTTAGTTCTGTGATAGGGACCTCACTGAATTATAATGGAACTACCATATCATACCTGTTCTTATTCCATGCTCTGCCAGAATTCCTGGAAGACTTTTGATATTATCAAAGGAATTGAAATGATGAACTCCTTGATGTAAACCATACATTCCATTCTGATGAATTGGTAGCCCTGTTAAGATAGCTGAACGACTATAATGAATGTTATGTAACCAATTAGTTTATATGTCACCCTATTAAAACAATTTAATGAGTTGTAACACTTATAATTTTTATATTTTTAAAATAGAATGTTGTGAATTGCGTTTGGAGCTCAATCAGGCCAAATGTCCTAACGTATAAAGAGAAGAATGATGATGATGATGACTAGTAGAGTTTTGTATTTTTGTACATGAAAGCCTCATATTGTAGCCATTATAAGTACAACCTGAATTTTATGCATTTCCTGTGACAAACACATGTGATGGGCAGTTACTTTTATCTGACCCGGATGAGGCTGTTTGAAAGCAATGACAGGCCAGAGAACATTATGATAAAATTTCTGTAGTATTTATACTGTTTAACATCTATAAATTAATTCTCCAATTGAACATACCAGAAAATATTAAAATCACATGATAAGGCCATGCAGTGCTTGGAATATTGGCCATGCACTTGCCTGAACAAGACCACAGGAAACCAATCTTATTTCATTGTGACTTAAATGCCGTCTGTTACATGCACCTTGGTGAACAGCTGCTGACAGATGTGTAAGCATTGTTGAAAATCAGACTTTTCTTTCCTAAGCCATCTAGATTTGGTGTCTGACAGATCTTGTTCCTATATGTCCCCATTTCAAATCCTCCATCATCAGCTGGAATGAAAAAAATCAAATGGCAGTACTATATAAGCTTTTGGAGTTAGCTACATAACACATTTCAAGAATGAATAAGTTCTTTCCATACAACACAAAAATATATTGATTAGGGAATAATGAAATTTCAAATACTGGTTAAGCCTAACTTCTGATTTTAATTCAAGTTCCTAGTTGTTAATTCCAGGTACTTTCCATCATCAAAAGGATGTCACAGTATGCTTTTCTTCTCTATGTCAGATCAGAGTATCAGTACCTCTCTTTTTAGAAGGAGCGTCAGAAAACATGCTGTATGTATATTATAACGTCAACAGCAGTGAAAAATATTGAATTTTATTGGGTTTATGGAAGAGAGAACTTCATACATGGGTGACCTATTTGAATCAACAGGTGAAAGTACAGCTTAATATCTTAAAACAGGTCATCAACCATAAAGTGAAGATTAGTACTCAGAAAGTTCAGAAAAATACATTTAAACAGACTGGGATTGATTCCTGACCAGTCCAAATACAGTTCATAATGGGTCATAATAAGGAATAGTCAGTATTAATAATACAAGAGTACTGTCACTGAATATCAAATAAGATGCTGAGAATATAAGATGGTAATTCCACATTCCAAAAATAGTCTTGGGCAATGGATGGAGGGATCCATGACATTCATGGGTATTATGGGGAGACCTATTTAAATGGAATCTTAATAAATATTTTTGGAAGCTGAGCATGACTGGGGTACAAAAGTAAATGGGGGTCACAATACATGGTACATGCAAATTTAGATACATAAAACAGTCTGTGATTCTAGCATGGCTTCCGAATGTTCGTATATCTGTGTACCTGATATGGTACATTTTTGCGTGTGTAATCACACCTGGGCTTGTGTGATGGGACACTTCTACATCTAACATCATTAGCCTCTCGAGGCGCCTCTATAAATTATCACGAGACCCGACGTGGTTGAATGCGGAGCAGATCTTTGTAGAACTGAATGTTTGCATGTGTATTAATTGAATTTGCAATTTACCGATAATTAACAGTGCGTTTTTCTTTGGAGTATGTAAATGTTTGCAATAGCTTGTTGTGATGAAAGAGTATGTGAAAATAACAACATAAAAACGCATTATAACATTCATCAAGAAAAAACTTTTTGCCTTTCACTGAATGTCACTCCATGTACTATGGTTCTAAGAACTTTTATTATGAGCATAGTAAGTAGATAAGGTCATTTCCATCTTTAACCAATGGATATGATTGATTTTTCAAAGAGTGAATTCGTATGTATCTTTGTTAATACGTTTTTGTGACTCGTCACTGACCAAAATGACATTGTAATAGCTTTATCAAACATTAAAAAAATAGTTAATAGGGCAAATGACATATAATGTGATTTCTTTTAATATTAAGCATCGGTGGAATGAAGTTGTGTAACAGAAAGGATGTGGTGTACTCTAAAGGACACCAATGAAACTAAATACTGGTTATTGTACTCTGTAATGTTCACAGTACATATATGATTATTGTGCCAAGGAACAAAACACTCTGTCTAAAACGTAATCTGTGATACGTTCTACGACGTGGCGGTCTTTATGGTATATATAGTATGTACTAAGATTGTCGAATAATTATGAGACAGCAGACAGTAACTATCTTGAATAATAATTTTAGAATACAAAATACGAATTCTTCCTCGCTGCTGTTAATGTTTCGTTGCAATGCTGCCAACAAACTTCGAAGTCTTAACCTATTTTGTCATGTTCGTAATCAGTTTCATCATTCCGCGACTATGTGCAGTGGGAGTGACGTGAAGCTGTGTAAATATTGCATGTGTAGTTTTGACTTGGATATTTAGCGCAGATGAGTACTGCTTGACAGGTTCAAGTTAATGGAATTTAGGTTATTTGAGTCACAGTAATTTCTCTCTAGGACGGTCGTTAGGCAACTTTGTTTTGCAGGGAGAAGCCCAGTGTCTGTAAACTACTGTACTGCAGCTGTCAAGAATATTTTCGAATCAAGAAACATGTTACAAAGGGAGAACATAATGTGCTTATTTGATGTTGATGGCACACTGACTGCACCCATGAAGGCAAGTTTCATGATAGTTGACAAAGGTGCTGTCTGTCATTTGACATTCAAGGCTAGAGAATTGACTGGGAAATAGATGAAAGGTTATATATTTGCGCTGCTTAAGCTATGGAAACGTAACCCAATGTAACAAAATCAAATTAAGCTATATGTTTATTGGTTTTGAAGTTTACACAGTAGTATGAGTTTAAATTGTATTTTTCTGGGTTGGTGAAAAGTGTAGACTTGAAGAAAGATACTAAAATTTAGAAGGGGGAGGGTCGATGGAACCCATTCCAAACAATGCTACAATCCAGAAGACAGCCATCTAGCCAGCTCACTGCCTTGAAAATCCTACAAGAGGTGCACAATTTAAATCTTGGCTTGGTACCAGCTAATAACTGCTGATTTTTATGGTTCCTCTAGCCTCTGCAATAACACAAAAATTGTTTATTACACTTGCAGGTCATTGAGCCAGACATTGAGTCATTTCTGTTTAATGAATTGAAACCAAAGTATACTCTTGGTTTGATAGGAGGATCAGACTTTAAGAAAATAGCATATCAGATGGGTGGTTCAGAAGAAGGTAAGAAGGATTTTTTTGTGACACAATATTTAGTTATCATTGTTAAGAATTTTTGCTGTGTAAAATATTTGAGATATTTAGCATATATCTCACATATATGTATGTACATTTGTTGTTCCATAGCATAGTTACAGTGGCCCGTGTTCAATCAAAGGGCAGTTCATATGACATTTGTTTTGCACAAAATATCACTGAAGCAGATTTTTCTTAGACTGTAAAGTTTCTCAATACCAGTAATCATTTCAACATATTTATCTATCACTGCCCCAGAGATGTATAAGAAGCACAGTCAGCATTTCAGATGTCACTTAGGGCTTGACTTATGAACTGGCAATTGGCTGTGCTTAGAACAAATACAATTAAAGACTTGTGTTTTTAATGATTATTGTTGTTGAAATAAATTATCCTACAATCCAGTAATTGTTTTTATTACAGTTCTAAAAAAATATGACTACGTATTTGCAGAGAATGGGTTGATAGCTTACAAAGATGGCAAATCCATTGGATGTCAGGTAAGATAAATTATATTACTTTGATATATCTGTGTCAAACCAAGAAGCAAGGATCAAGAATTGGCCATTATATTATTTGACCATTTATAACATTAAAACCTGTAGTTCTATGAAAAACTAATGTTCTTTGTTTTTTGTACGTGATATTTTGATATGATACCAAAATATGTTGTTGGTATAGTGTTAAATATGTCAAGGTTCTTAAATCAGTGATACGTTCAATGTTTCAGAGCATCCAGGAGCATATGGGAGAAGAGACACTTCAAACATTCATTAACTTTGCTCTTGGCTATATGTCACAACTAAAACTGCCAGTTAAACGTGGTACATTTATTGAATTCCGTACAGGACTTATTAATGTTTGCCCAGTTGGACGAAGCTGTAGTCAAGTGGAGCGTGAACAGTTCTTTGAATATGACAAGGAGCATAAAATAAGAGAAAATTTTGTCAAAGCTTTAGAAGAAAAGTTCTCAGATTTGGGACTTGTATATTCTATAGGTGAGTTGCAAACAATGTTAGCACTTATGAAATTACAATTTATTTGCTGTTGACAAATATTATACATTTGTAATGTTAATACAAAGTGAGCAGAATCTTATTTAAAGAAGAGGGAGACATTTGGCTGTTCCCTTACATCACATTGAAGGACAACTTCCATCTCGTTATATCACGTGCAACAGATGTTGGTTAGGATACTATTTGTGCTTTACCTACTCCCTCACCCTCTGCACAACATAGCCAACTTGATACCTCATTCACCCTACTCAAGTATGCTAACTTGCTTTTCCTTTGCAAGGACTAATTGTATTAATTAGAGCACATTCCAAAGTTTAGAATTAGATTAATCTTTGAATCTGCTTCTAGGTGTTTGTGTATATAATTTTTCCTCTAGGGGTATATGTGTAGATGATCATGTCCATGGTAATATTGTGCTAGGATACACTACATTAGGCAGTAGAGTAGATTATGTTATTGTGTTTTCATTCATGTGGTAATATTTACATGTATGTTTTGTAGTGATGCTTACATGCCTTTAGCAGTTAGTTGTTCACATTGCTTTTTAAAATAGTACAATATGTTTGTTTATGTTTTCCTGACAGTTGTGGTGTTTCACAATTTAATACAAATATGTTTTTATAAAAAGCAAGGATGGTGCATTATACTCGTCTTTGAGCAAACACGTAACAGTTTTATCGTTTATTAATTTCATTCATGTCATATTAATATTTAATTTTGCAGGTGGTCAGATAAGTTTTGATGTCTTTCCAAAGGGTTGGGATAAGACATACTGTTTACAATACTTGGAGAAAGAAATGTTTGAAGAAATTCACTTCTTTGGTGACAAGACAGACCCTGGTGGCAATGATTATCAAATATTCACAGATCCTCGTACAATTGGTCATAAGGTAACTTCACCAGCAGATACCGTAAACCAATTGAAGCAGTTATTAAAATAGAAGCTACTGCAACTTCTTTATACTAAGGGTACCATATGACTGGAAAGAGAAGGTTGGTACGGAATAAAAACTGAAACACTGTTATAGAAGTACAAGTTAGCAGTGCTATATTTCTAGAAAGACTTATATTTAGCAGTGTGAAAGGGAGGGTTCATGTATGGTTTGTTGACAGACAGTGAACTTGTAAGTAATTGAAATGGAACACAAGTTAAAATGAAAAGTAGGATTTAAGGTACTCACAGTGGTTGGTACGGTCTTCTGGGTTGTAGTGCCATGTAGTCTGACAGAAGTTTACCAATGTTCCAGAAGTCACTGGTAAACTTCTACTAGACTACATGGCACCACAATCTAGAAGACAGTCATCTTTAAGATGGGAACTTCATATTCATTTTAATTTTTATTATTATCTGTTCTTTGTGATATATTTTTAATGGCTTGTTTTATGAAAAAGCTGGCAATATTATGTACTGTACATACTGCCTGAAACAATTATGTGTTATATATAACTTTATATACACTTACACATACAAGTGATTATGGTATATTATGTATAACATATAAAACATTTTGAAAAATATCCCAAAAATGTTAATGATGCAGTGCCATCTTTCTTCTCTGACCAAAGTACATCATGCTCCCAATACTTATTCCCATAAATGTGATTTGTTTCATTTTCCGGTATATATAGGTGCACGCTTTTCCTGGAATGCGATGAGTCCTTCCATCCTGTCCTTTGTAGGAACAACTTGTGCATAACATGCTTCTTCAATAATATTACCAGTGCTGGTATCAACTTCTAAACCAGAATTTATTGCAACTTTTGCCAGTCTTACACTAAGTGGTCCATTAGGGATAATTTCACGAGCAACTTCCAATGCTTTCAAGTAGGCTGCATTGCCTTCATTATTTTGTTTCACTGCATAATTAACAATACCCATTTCAAAAGCCTCTGTCCCTGTCACTGTTTTGGCAGTGAAAATCAGCTCCTTTGCAAATGCTGGTCCAATGAGTCTAGGTAACCGTTGAGTGCCTCCTGCACCTGGGATGATTGCTAATTTAGTTTCAACTAAACCAAGTTTAGCATTATCTGATGCTGTTCTCATGTCACATGCTAATGCCAATTCAAATCCACCACCAACAGCAGTACCATCAAGAGCACCTATCACTGGCATAGGTAGGCTCTCAACAGCATCAGTAAGTGATCTCAGTTGTGACACAAATGTTTTAACCTCCAAGTTAGTTAGTTTCAATCGCTCTTTTAAGTCAGCACCAGCACAGAAGATGCCAGGAACCATACTTCTAACGATGAAAACTCTAACATTTGTATCATACTTTACTGAATCTATTGCCCGGAAAAAGTCTGATGCTAAAGTTCGATTAAGAGCATTCTTCGCTTCAGGCCGGTTCAACTCGAGCACGACAATTCCATTATCTGTCTCTTCCAAGTAGTTGAGTCGTAGATTTTGTGAACGACTTGCTGTAGATGAAGACGGTCGGCGAAAGATTCTACGGATATGAACAGAATGTTTGAAAGCATTTACTTTCTTGATTAATGACATATTCAACAACTGTTTACACTTCCGAAGAAAATGCAGCGTAATGTGATATGGGTAATTGCATCAGAAAAACTTTCCAGCATGCACGTAGGGAAATTATGTTTTGCTTTAAAAATTGTGCATACACTTTGAATATGTTACTTAAAAAGTTTAAAATGAAGTAAAATAAAATTATCAACTAATATGTGTACAATGGTTTCTAAACACAGCTTTTAAAAAACGAGAGAAATTTTGTTCCATACGGAGATGTAACATTCAACTTTTAGGGAAAAATAATGCCACTTCCGCTCCCAAGCGACCTATGAAGATTTTCCGCCAGAGTTCGTATTGATGTACAGACTTCCGGTTCTTTCTTGTTTGCGTGGCGTTATACGGCGGTGTTGAAGGTAGGAAATATATCGTTGCGGGTGGTGCTGTTAATATAGTAATTCTGCATAATTGCAGTGTAGTAAACTGTGTAAGATTATTTGTCTAATGGTGTGTTTTCTTTGCTGAAATATTTAAGGATGGGTAATATATATGTTGATCTGATGGGCATGTGCTGGCACATGCCAGACATTGAGGGTACAAGATCAGGGTCGACTGCATTTTACATAGCACCAAATTAAAACAACGCAAGATATTCCATTGTTTTAACTGAAAAGGTGTGGTACAGACAAGCGATACATGTAGGGCTACGCAGGCACAGTTACAAAGTATGCTTAATTGTTTCTTGTTTAGAAAAAGTCATCCTGTTTTTGGTCGCAGAATGTGTTGAGATTTCGTTTGTGGACAGGCGTTTTGCTTCTGAACGGCATTTTCCATCTTAACTGTGCCACATTTTTTGTGGTAGGGGGTTACAATTGTGGAGCCTTGCATGGGTGTGGTAGTGTCCTTAAGATGGGAATTTCATGCATATGACTGCATTCTGTGAAAGTTGCCATTCCAGGGTTTGCGAGCTCTGCTGTTATATACTGAAAGTGGCTCAGTATATGTAGGTGATTACCAGGTTTGTTCCTTTGCATGAATAATTTGGGTATTCATTATAATACAGTGTTGACCACTCATCCTGGACATGTAATTGGTGATGAACAATGTAGTTTCTTTGTTTGAGGCCTGTGTTTTGTATAATCAGGTATGTGAAGTGTACATTCTGCTCATGTTCTCAGTAATCATAGGCACATTTGATATAAGATATGTATATGGCCCCAAATTCTGGGCAAGGGACATCAACAATTTTGTTGATCATCTCTAATCATTTGGAGGCAAAATTGAAAATCCTTGGTTAATCCCAGTCAGAACTGGATAGTGTCTGCCTGATTCATGACAAGGAAACAGTGGGTGAAGCATGTCCCTTTGTGCAGTTGGTTTAATATTTCTCTACAAGAGTATGTACAAAGTAGTGTTCCTCTTGCAGGTCTACCTAGCCATTCAGGATGGTGAATGGTAGAATTCCTTCGGTCTTTAGTAAGACTTATGTTACTCCAAGAAGACCGTATGAAAAGGCTCGCCTTGACCAAGAGCTGAAGATCATTGGAGAGTATGGTCTTCGTAACAAACGTGAGGTGTGGCGTGTAAAATACACTTTGGCTAAGATTCGTAAGGCTGCCCGAGAACTTCTGACATTAGAAGAGAAGGATCAGCGTCGATTGTTTGAGGGTAGGATAATTTGTTTAGCCATTCTTGTCTGGTGCTACTGTTTTGTTCACACAAGGAGGACTTTGGATGAGAATGCACATAGCACATACTTTTGCTGGAAATTTGTCACTAATTTACTACTTTGTTTTTGATGGTCTGTGATGGCATTACATACATGAATTGGCCTTGAATGGATAAAATAAATGGTTTATCATATTATTTAACAATGAAAATAATGGAAAGGATGTATTTTGTTCCCTGATGATTTGTGTTCCTTTTTCTTTATAATATTTCTGTGAGGAGGTATTTTGTGACACTAGGTTTGAGTGTTTTTTGTTAAACAGATGGTAGATTTAAGTTGTATTAGTGGAGCCGTGGGTATATAATTTATTTTGTATTTTATAGTTATATACACTAATTTGTCTGAGATTACTACAGTTATCTATGATTAACTTAGATCCTTACTTTATTATTAGTATCGTGATTTCTATGGCTACAGGTAACGCTCTTCTACGTCGATTAGTTCGTATTGGGGTACTGGATGAGAGCCGAATGAAGCTTGATTATGTTCTGGGTCTGAAAATTGAGGACTTCTTGGAGCGACGTCTTCAGACGCAGGTCTTTAAGTTGGGGTTGGCGAAGTCAATCCATCATGCTCGTGTTCTTATTCGTCAGAGGCACATTCGGTAAGATGTATTTTTGTGTGTTAGGTGCGTGGCCCCAATCACTGGGCAAGTGACATTTGTTTTGATGATCACTAATCATTTGGAGGCCAGATAAAACTCCCTGTTTAATCCCAGTCAGAACTGGATAGTGTCTGCCTGATTCATGGCAGGGAGACATATATATCAGGTTTCTAGTCTTTGTGGTGAATACTGGCATTTCTTCTGGTCTTGTTTCCCTGACATAATGCTTACAAATACAGTAATTTGCTTGAATGTTTGTCTGCTCTTGGTTTTCCACACCACAGATTTAATCCTTTGTCCTTTATATATACATAGCTTTGATACCACAAGGGAAGACGGTAGGTAATTTTGTTATAGAATGTGGCATAAGGAAGTTGCAGAGATGGATTGGAATTTGTCTGAATCACTTGTTTTTGCTGATGTTAGAGGAAACTATTGTATATGATATATACCTTGAATTATGCAAATCTTGAGGTGTGTGAGAACAAACAGAAATGAGATTCTTGTTGAAATTAATGAGCGTGTGGACAGTATTTTGCCATTTATTTGTGTGCATGCATTAGAGAGTGAGTGAAAGAAAGAAACATGGTCCCTTCAAGGGAGGAACTTACTATGATCTTTTACATCAAATTACTCAGGAAAATATAACAGCAGTTTTGGTTGTCAAAGATCATCAATGCAGGTCATGCTAGATAGCAGGGTTTGGGTTTCATTGTTTTGAACATTGAGTCTACTACCTTAATAATACATGAACATGGGGATTTCTGTTAGTACCTTGTGTATTGCATGTCTAGATTCTGTGCATTAAGTGATGTATTAATTGCCGCTAGGTTTCAAGAGCTGCCAGTTAGATGAATGGATTTATTTTCAGACAGACCACTTGGGATGTGGGCTGTTTGCAGCCCCTTCCCTACGTCTGTAAGGTTTACAAACGGGCGAGGGAACCAGATATGAAGGTACTTAGGATTACTGTCTTCTCATTAACTGAAAATTAAATGTGCACACCCATTTCTTTGTTTTGGGTGCATGTTGTGTTTGATTTTTTAAATTAAATTGCACGTGATTCAATTCTGTACAAACCAGACATGTTTTGGTCATGTTTGAGATTCCATCAGGAATTTTGTGAGGTGAACAGATCAGAACTTTTCAGTTTTGTATTTTTTCTAGTGTATTACAGTAAAGTGTCCTCAAGTATTTATGGGATTTGTAACCAAGTACGCGTGAAATTGTTTAATGCTGTATGTCATGGTTGACTATAGTGAAGTTCAAACCAACTATTGCTATATGTTTTCTTTTTGCAAATATATTCCTTATGTGGCCAACTTGCATAGTGAAAGGTACTTTATAAACTGTCGATACATTTGTAAATATTATGGCTCTTATATTGTGCTGACAAAATGTATTTTTCCCTTCAGAGTTTGCAGGTAGGTGGTGAATATCCCCAACTTTATTGTGTGATTGGATTCCCACATTGGTCGTTACATTTGTTTTTTTGCAAACGTGGATTTTTCGATGCAGGGTTCGCAAGCAGGTGGTGAACATCCCCAGTTTCATTGTGCGACTGGACTCCCAGAAGCACATTGACTTCTCTCTGAAGTCTCCATTTGGTGGTGGCCGTCCAGGACGTGTGAAGAGGAAGAACTTGAGGAAGGCCACAAGTGGAGGTGGTGCTGCTGATGAGGATGAAGATTAAATGTAAACTTTCTCATGTCATGACTTGATGTATCAATAAAATGTGTCTGATCAAGTTCCTTTTTGATGAATCTACCTCAAATATTTTAATATGACCTAAGAAGGGTGTGAAAATTCTGAATTTCCTGCAAAACCTGTATGCAGTTTACCATTTCTTTATCCTGTGCTCATCTGTAGATGTGGAATTGAAGTATCTGTTTGTCTTGTCCCAATAATGTACCAGTTCCCAGTTTATATACTTTGAAATAATTTTATTAGTACCAATATGATATAAGTACATTACTCTGATCCAAACTGTGTTTAGCATGCCAGTAACTTGTGGATAGAAGGAAAATGGTACAAAAGCCAAAACATAGCTGATGTGGGAATATTGAACTATATCATTCACTACAAATAATTTATGTTTATGTTTAACCTTCCCTTCCCTTAGACTTTAATTTTTGCTTATAACGTGGAATGCTTGTTTTCCTTGATTTGCCTAAGGATAAAATACAAGTGTTGGAGTTGTGTTTTGACATATATTAATGTGCAATGCCTTAAACGTTGCATTGTTAAGTGAAATCTAGCAATCTATGAAAAATATCCTTGTCAGTATTCAGAAAAAAGTTGTTTTGGAGGTGGCCATGTTAGCATACTGTCTAAGAATTTGTCAATCTTGGTTCTGTATGGGTGAAAAAATACAGGTTACTAGGTCAATGTCAAGTTTATGACGATTTAGTGTATGTGTGGCCCCATTTTCGTCATACAAAAGAATCGATAGTAATATAGAATTGTTCGATCACGCACCTTTGCGGCTGAGGGGGTATAAAAATTTCTTGACCAGGGTGACTAAGCAGGGAAATTTACTATTGTTTAGTATAGTAAATTGTCCGAGTGTTGGCCATGCACATGTTCAGACATCTAGTGTCGCATTTTACGAATGTTGAAAGTACGAAGTTTTGTTCCGGTGTACTCTTTTCTTGTGTGCATGTTAATATTTAAATGAGAATATGTGGAACGTATTTAGTATTCTATGTACCTTGTGATGTGAATTAGTTTGTGAAGATCTGGAGGATTTTGTAAAATGGGCATCTAAAGAATGACCATGCAAACTAACCCAACAAAATCATACCAAGAGAGCTGTAATCAGAAACGAAGCCAACCAAAATGGTCATTCGGTAAGTGCACGACAATATTATTTACAATGTTTGAATTCATATATAATATAATAAGGTGAATATTATCGCCCTGATGACGGAGGCAGTATGACCTCTGAAACGTTAAACATCTACCATACTATATGGCGCAACAACCCAGGAGACAAATCTTCACGTTACATAATGTTAATACCGAAAATATACGTTATTTATTCTGAGAACGAAACGAACACAAAGTAGGCCTACACCTTGTTGGTAAAATGCAAAATTATTGAATAATAGAGTAGATTCTAGATCCAATTTCCATCGTGCTTCAAACATTTGGTTTCTTACAGTAGTTTAGAATTGAGTTACTGATATTTTGTGGAATGGATCGCCTTGCCTATGTAAACATCTGTACGAAGACTTAGGGCATATTTCACTGTAGGAAAGGATCTGTGAAGAAGTAAGAATGCCACGAAACTTTGTATGAAGATACATACGGATGAATGGGCAGGTTTTAAAATACTGTATTCTGCAATTACTGTAATTAGTTAACTAAAACGAGAAAGAAGGTGCAAGGACGGATTGCACCTGAGGGCAGGCGACCTAACAGACCGGAAACAAGTTGCTTTCAGTCGCAGTGCCTACACTTTCTCTTTGCAGGAGAGACAGCTAGACCTGATGAACAACGTATTGCTTAAAATATTCGTGGGGCCGGTGGGATCTCCAGAGAACAACAATGGTCGAATCAAATGGGGGAGAGGGGCAGTTCAGCGCATCATTTCGCTCTAAATCGTTTCTTACTTGTCTGTGACATTCTTCCTTCCTTGTTTATTTATATCTTTTCCCTCCCTCCGGTCGTAATTTTAGGCACGAAACATAAGGACAGACAGGCACAGGTATCTTTGTACCCGTTAATTTTGTGTGGTTCGCGCGAAAAGAAATTCGCAAACAATCGATCTAATACCGACAACGTTTGTGATAGTAACTCTCATGATTTAATTCGACAGACTCCGAACTTGTGGATAGTAACTTGTGTGGTCTCCATTTTCGAATTAAATGTGCAAATAAAAGATTAAAACATATAGACATGATTTTTGCAGTGAAAGTGGCGAGAGTGGTTGGAGAAAGTTGGAGCGGGAGCAGACATCTTATGGCTGCGATTAATCTTATATGCTTGCTACTGTGCACTATGGTCAATTCTCAGTTACTTATTTAACGATGTTTTCTCAGCTACAGTGGTTATTTAATGTTTGATGTCCAATACGATTATGAGTGATATATACCTACTACATACACACGAAAATTTGTGTTTTTTTTGTTTTGTTAGTAAACGATAAAATTTCCCGTTTCTAAACATCACGCTAAGAAGGGGCTGGGCACGGACTGAGGTTTACGCTGTACGCATTCTTGATTGGTCCGTTTCGTGCTTCATCCTGTGTACCCCCCGGGGGGGGGGGGGGGAAGCCCCGCTTTACCTGTTGGTAAGAGGTTCAAATCTCGAGTCGGTCTGGAAGCCGCAAAGGACCTTATTGAAATTATAGGTACGAACTCTTACACGTTTTAGAAATATGAAGATCGTGTTGGAACCGACCTACTTAGATCAGACTTCTGTTCGCTAGATCCAAGTAACGTAACAGAATTTATGTAAATAGAGTCGTTGTAACGTAATATAGTAAAATGCCACGAAGTGTAAAGGTCTGAGTTCAACACAGTTCTTCAGATTGGCATCAAAGAAATAATGCGAGAGAAACCATAAAATAGATGTCACAATACGCCATGTTTTTAAGCAGATGTTCGATATTGGCTTATGGAGAGGATACTACTGTAGTTTTCCGCGTTATAAGTTATAAATTTACAGGAAACGGATTTCACGTCAGACCTGATTCCAGTCACCGCGTAGAAGAATTGCACTAAGCGTCTCGCTATAGCGCGTGTCCCAGAAACGACTAAACTATACGAGGAAATGCAAAATAGAAGCAGTACTGTTTGTACCAGAATTTACTGACAGCATGAGGAAGTTCTTCGCTATAGTTTGTGTTTCCCAAATAAATTATAAGTCACAAGAGAACCATTCACAATTATGTGTTAAACATACGAGGATGTTCCTCACTCCTACAGCGTGTTCCATAACCAAGTGACGTTACATCAGGAAGTACTTGTCTAAGTCGCGTTCTCCGAAAACAAGTGGCACTGCTTGTCTCAGATTTTGCTGCTGATGTACGAGGAAAGTCTCCATTATATCGCGTATACCAGGAACGAGGCTATTGTCTGAGTCGAGAAGAATTAAGTTACAGCTCATATGTAGGAAATACCGCCAAAAAATTCCAGAAGACCCCAACCATGTCAGTGCAACCATTATAGCCTATCTTGTGCGCAGGAAATGCAGTTGATTGTCGGATTCCAGAGTTCGAGTCATGACATCTGCAATGTAAGAAGTATTGACATATGGTACGTTAATTTTTAAGTAACTTCCGGTTTGAATCATAGTCTCGTATGTTGATGTGTTGACAGTCGCGAATAACCAGGGCTGTAAACCCTTCAGTCAGTCAAGTAACCGACCAAATAAATGAGCAAATAAGTTCATTAGTAGTGAAACTTGGTCGGTTCTTAGTCGGAACGCGCGTTTTTCAAGTGGTAAGTCTCTAAGTTAATTTCACTCTTGACTTATTTGGGCTAACGGGTGATCAGGAGTAGTCCACTCGGGCGGAGAAGTTCAACACGGCCTTTAATTCTCCATGGGATGGCTTAATCTGGAGGAAGATATAGTATTTGATGTTTTCACGGCGGTGAGAATGAAGATGGCTGTCTTCTGGGCTGAAGCTCCATTTAGTAGAAGTTAATCAGATGCTTCAGAGGTCCTTGCTTCCTCCATTATCAGGGCGATAATTATAGCGTTACTACGCAGAAGACAGCCATCTTCGGAGGAAGAGATATTTTCATATCGAAACAGGGGTAATGTGTGTGGACCACTCCGAATTATCCAGCCTCCAACCCAAAGGATGTAGGTTGTAAATCGAATGGAAACACGACACGTAATTTTTCATTCTCAGGCCTCGTGTACGGAGGAACTTCGTATACTTTAACAGTAAGTTTTACGTGTTTTATCGTCGTCGATGTAAATTGATTTCTGTGTTCCTGGTTTTGCGTTAATGTAGACGGGAATTCATGGATCGATAGTTCGTTCAATCGACGTCTTAATTTCGGGCAGGGACGCGTGTTTCTATGACACGATGACTTCGTATGTCTTTGGCTCTTTTGCGGAAGGAATGACGCGAAAGGAAAGCGATTTGCTAACATGACCAACCCAAAAGAAATTAAATTCCCAGGTGGCCGCACTTCTACTTTTGGGATCTGACTTGTAAATTCACGCACTCTGATCAACGCGGAAGCCGAGCCAACACAATTATTCGTGACTGAGCTTGATTTTGCTTGCTCTCTGCATCGTAGCTTTATCTCAGAGACGGCGCGTGGAAAGAACACGTCAGGGGTGGCCAAACGGATCTTTATTCTGAATTTCAGCAGTGTGTGACTTGGAAGATCCTCATAAACTCACGGACTCTTTATAATTATGAATTAACAGTTTGCTACGCCGTTGAACCCTTCGAAGCCGAAGCTCGTATTAATGCTTAAGAATTCAGTCCGTACCGCAGAGGAAACAATTCACCATTACATTATATCAACTGGTCAATGCTGTATAAGGAAATGATTGATTTTTACACTGATGCTCAAACGATACTCGTAAATACAAAATGAAGAGTGAAGAATGAAGATTGTTGAAACAGGATAACACAGGACTTTTCGAAAAAAAAAATTTCGGAATAAAATACCATCGCCTCTTGTTTTATAACAAAATTACGTAATATACGGGCTTTATACAATGCAATCAGAATTTTTTTTCAGGAAGGAATCAACTCTGTGTATTGAAGGTGTTGACTAAGTAAGTCAGTAAACATCAGTAGAGTAGCTTACTGTTCACCCCTGATAACAAACCCTGGATTGTTGGAACCTGCTGGCGATGTTGCTCGAGGCGTGGTGTGCCGGCAACCGAGCGGAAACATTTTGTCACTCTGGCATGCCTCACTGTTCGAAGCGATTTACAATTAAGACAGCGTTTCGACTAAAGAGCTATTCTCTTCCTAGCCATTAAAATCATCGTACGAAAGGAAGGTTTTAACTACTGACGTGACGAAGGAATTGTTGATAACGTCGTGGTGGGTTTGTATCACTTTTACAACCCGCGGCGTGCAGATTTTACTTGGCCGAAATTGTGTAATTCCATATTTCAGACCAGTTTTCTTTCGTACTTTTTAATTGTGAGGATAATACTAAAATGGATCTTAAAGTAATGAATCTTTGGGAGAATTTCTTAACCATCTGAGAGACTATTAAGTTTTGAAGAAGGATTCTTTTCTGTGTAAGAAAAACTTACTTCGTGAATTACAATTAGCCAATGTTTATAAAAATAAACCCAAAACAGAAACAGTAGAATTCTCTCCGCTAAAGACGTTCTGAACTACATATAGATATAATTGTCTGTCTCACTCACTCTCTGGTTGACTTTGGTGCCGGAGAGGGTTCTGCGGACTATAGGTTGAGAAACACAGGTAAGAGCAGTGTGAATTGGACGGTTATGTGTGTGGTTTATACAGTACCCTAGATATGTAAGGCCCATTAGAATGGAGAGTAGCCTATCCGTTTACTGCAACACCGGCTGAACAGAAGGTCGTCGAGTTGGTGAGTGGCAGAGCTTTAGATCAGGAATTGCATTCGGGCTGATTTGTTCGAAGTGCCGACTGCCCTGTCTGAAGCTCATCAGCGGGCCATAGCCGATTCCATATCCTTTAAAATTCACCATTCACTGCCTTCTTATTATTCGATGCTATTATACGTAGGCGTTGAATTTGAAAAACTTGGTTAAATAATCCAAGAAACAAGATAATTCCAGTTTGTGATGTTTGTCTATGAAACGGTTATTTGAGTTAGGATATAAAAAATAGGCACACTAAATTTTGTTTTGCGGATATTTACACTTTCTA